AATCTTCAAATGACCCGGGCGGAGGGAGGGAGGAGGGGGGGGCGGCTCGCCTGCCGCCCTCGAGCCGCGACAGCCGGTGCCGTGGCCGGCCCGCCTTCGAACGCGAAGGGGGGACGGCCTCATGCCGCCTCACCGCGAGAAGCGGCGGCCGGCCGCCACCTCAAAGGAGGCCTCTCGCGCTCGAAATACGTGCGAGGCACCTGCCGAAGGGGGTGGGGTGGTCGGGCGGTCTAGGGGAAGGCGTATCCGGTGGGTGGGCGCCGCTCCTACAGCGCGCGGGGCGGGGAGGCCGACTGCGGCGGTGATACGGTCGCGCGCGCGGGGCGTGGAGGGCCAGGGAGGTGGAATCCGGGGCGGCGGAAACCTCCGATTTTTTGCAGTTCTAATTAGCCCGAGGCTGGCCGGAGAGGATTGACGAATCCGATTTTTGTTTTTCCGCTGGTCCAGCCGGCCAGCCGTGCCTACGGCGAGAAAAGGAGCGTCAGACCCGGTCCGATCTCGCGCTCCAGCGGGAACGCCGAGCGCCTCGGACGCCAAGCGGAAACGGCGTTCCGAGGCGGGGCGCGGTGGCGATCGCCGGTCGGCGCCTTCGCGGCCGGCCGGCCCGGTGGGTTGCCACGGCACATGCGCCGCGCGCCGTCGCCAGGCCCCGCCGCCGCCCCGCCAGAGCAGCGGCGAGATGGGAGGCGGTCGGCGGGTACCATCGGCTCTTCGAGCGAGCTTTCAGCTCACTTTGACGACGCTAGGAAAATCAATTCGTGGAATCCAGTCCGAGATGCAGTGAGGCGGAGCCTACCCTGACCCCACAATTTTATACAACAACTGTGGAGCACCGCGCATAAGGAAGCACCGATCGCTCCGAAGGATCCGAGCAACCCGATCGACATGTACATGCGTACGACGACAGTACGGTATCACGCCAGTGCACGCCACAGCTTCGACTTCGAGCTTGGACCGCGCGCGCGGGGCGGAACCGGGGATGACACTGGTCAGTAACTCGCGTTCATTATGGCTTCACCCAATACGCTTGCGCGTCCACCGTCCCGGGCAGGAATCGGATCTCCGCCGTGATCCCATTCGACCTGCGGTACTCCTCGGCGGCGCGCCGCGCGAGGGGCAGCTTCCAGTCGTCAAAGAGCACGACGCCGCCAGGCGTGAGCCTCGGGTAGAGGTGCGCGAGGGCGTCGAGCGTCGCCGTGAACACGTCGACGTCGATGCGCAGCAGCGAGAGCGCGCGGATGGGGTTGCACGGCGGGGCGAGGGTGTCGTTGACGAAGCCGGGCAGGAGGCGCACGCCGGGTCCGAGGAGGCCGTGGCGCAGGAAGCGCTGCTGCACGGCCTCCGCCGAGTTGCGCCTGAACAGCGGGAACCTGCGCACCCAGTACTCGTCGGCCCTGCACGGGTTGCCGCGGCCGCCGCGGACCATTCCCCTTTGCAAGTCACCTGGGGCCGCGCCTGCCCATGCCCTTGGAAAGGAATTCGAATAAGCCCACCATTTTTCGTCGAACCCCTCCCTCGCCCTCGGCGCCCTCC